CAGCTGGCGTTGGTGTTACGGCGTGTCAGCGGGGGTTGCCATCCAGGCTGCTGAAACCTCGGCGGGCTGCAGCTTTCATTCTGCGGTCTCGCCGCGACCTCCCCTGGGCGCTTCAGCGCTCTCTAAAAGATTAAATTTCCTTCAAAAAAAAAAGATTTCTAAAAGAGCTCCACGAGCGACGGGCGTCTTTTTAAAGATGGCTTCCCGCTCGTGCGTTTCTGGATGTGGTCGTTTCCTGGCTTCATCTGACGGTCACGATCGCTGTGTCTCGTGCTTGGGCTTTCAGCACGCTGAAGCAGTCCACGCCTTCCGTCCAGGGCCTGTAAGTTCTCGTCCGCTCTGACGGCAAAGGCTTACAGTGCTGCTGGACAGGCCGCTTCCACCCTGCTTTTGAGTCTATATATATATATATATATATATATATATATAGATAGATAGATACAGTATATATATCACATGAATACATAAAACCAGAAAAAGGACAAATAACCCCAAATCAGGTTGGAAGTTTCAATTATTGATTTTTTTTCTGTTTGTTATTTTTTTACATGTTAATCCACATCAGTCTTGAATATTTGGTTGCAACCAATTCATAAAACAATCGTATAAATTCATTAGGTTTTAGAAATGTGTTTGATAACTTTGATAACAACCAAATTTAAACCATCACTTTTACTGCACGGGCAATTTTCAGATTTAAAAATATATTAAAAAGTACTTTTAAATATATTTTAATAATCATATAATTTCAAAATTTCAAAATACTGCTATGGGTTTCATAAATGTATAAAACCTGCACACATTACACACATTATTTGTGTATCATTTCATTTTTTTTCTATTTTACAGGTTTAATAAATTTAAATATTTCCAAGTAGGAACCTTCTTAAGTAGTCCCTAGGGCACATGTATCCTTTGTTGGGAATCTCTCCTCTATAGTATCCTCATGATATCTTTGTAATATTTCATCTAAATGACCAGAGATGAACAGAGTCTTACCGAGGAGCAGGCAGCATAAGGCCAAGAGTCTTGTAGAGAACCGTTCCAAGAATGAATACAGGAGATCCATCCATATCTGCCGGAAAACAGTCTAGGTTAGATGATACGATCATCACATTATCAAATCATATCAAATAGCATCTCCATACAAAGGTGTTTTATCAGCTCCCTTTTCAACTTTTCAATCAGCAATGTGGATGATTATTAGATCATTTGGAGTGCAGATTTTTTTCATAGGTAGACAGTAGAAATTCTCTCTTCATAGCTTCCCACTTCCATGAGGGGATATTTTAATCCAAAGAAATTTAACGAGATTTCTATTTTCAAAGCCACAGGAATTAATTAACCTCTAAACCTGCAAAATACTCATTAAATATCAGGTCTCTTGCCAAACAATATTCCTGACAGCTAATCCATCATAAATGTCCTGCCAATAATGAATAAAGTGGTAGATCAGGCTATACTAGCAAGGTTATTGATAACTAGAAGGCAAAGGTCTTCTCTGCTGACAGGAAGGCTAATCCTGGTTCAAACAGCTCTGTACAGCCCTCTAGTCAAGCTCAAGGCGAGCTGGAGTGAGTTATGTATTAAATCAATCCTTCATTACTTCCCTCTGATACACTTCAGATAAGACTGATCACCCTAATTAAGTAAATAGTCTGGTGCGCTGGTGCTTAGCTCTCTTTACTATCATCGTTTGAGAGGATACAGTGAGTGCTGTGTCATCTGAATTGATGTGGTCCACCAAGTGCAGTCTCCTCTAAAACAGGCAAATGGCGAGCGGTTGACATATAATCTTGTAATCTTAAAGCTATCCCATTAAACGGTCACACCGTGTCACCGCTTTGAAATTTTAACACAATCATATGGTAGCGATTACAAAACTTTTAATATCCTACAGATGATCCGAAATAACCAAAAATGCCATCATTTTATAGTGCCTTCTGTAAACTTTAAATGTACAAAGTCAAAGCAACAAAGGGTTTTCATGGTCTGAGAAATTAATAAATAAGTAGGGAAAGTACAGTAAGTCATTATTACAAAATAAGTCCCAATAGGGTGATCAAAACCCCAAATGTAAAATTTTACATTGTCCTGCTGTACTGTATATCACTTGCTTATTAAATGGCTACTCATTAAACAAGTGCTATATAATATAGATTTGAGTTTGTTTGTTTTTTTGTGAGAAAAAAAAAAAAAAAAAGAGTATGGAGTGATAAAAGAGATAATACTGCCAAAACTATGTATACTTTTGATCAATATGCACAAAATATGCTACAGTTGACCAATTAAAAAAAACAGTAATAAAAAAGTATTCTTCTACTTTACTGTCTGTCCCACACATAGACTTTTTCAAAAGCACATACAATTAAAAAATATTCCTGTAGCTTATGGTGCTAGAAATGCCAAGATCATGGGTTTGATTCCCAGGGAATGCATGAACTGATAAAGTGTAAACCATGAATGCAATGTAAGCTGCTTTGGATAGAAGTGTCTGCCAAATGTAAAAAAATAAAAAAATAAAAAAATAAATGGTATAATCTAGTGTGAAATTCTACCTTGCACTTTTTCAAATGAACAAAAATGAAAAGACGAAGAAAAAACAATCCTTTTTCAAAGTGCAAAAGTTAAAAAAATATATAAATGTAATGTCAATTTATGCACTACTCTGCTAAAAAGACAGGTCTACCAACTACTATTTTATCCTGCATTCCTTGAACAAAAGGGAATTCAAGATTCTAACATTCAATACTAGTTACAACAAAACAAAATGTTAACATGGTGTGACAAACTTATTGCGGTATTCCTTGAACGCACTGACGTCATTTCCATATCGGAAAGAAAAAGTGTCTTGTGTCAGGAGGCACTATGGTGTTTCACACAGCTCTGCCTAAAACATGCAGTGTATTGCGTTAATTATGATAACTTAAAGCATTGTTTCTGAAAAAGATTGTCTATTGCAATACACTGACAGTTTGATTCTCATGCTGATGGCCTGCTTTGTTGAATGTAAATGGTGCTGAATGAAAATCGGCTTTTACAATCTATTTAATGTAGCCTTATTGTATTAGACATAAGATGTACAGTATCATCAACTTCCACAGTGTGGCATCATGTACATTACCTGCTGTCTGGGGCACAAAGATTCCTTTGGGAATGACAACTTTGTCCTCAGAATTTCTGGCCCAGTCCACCATCCCTTTCCGTCCCTTCATGGGAAAGTTAATGTCTGTCATCACAGATACCGCAGGCAACCTCTGTATACTCGCAACTAAAAAAAAAGTACAAGAAAAAGCAAGAAAAGTGACAGTTTATTCCCCATCCACTTTCAAGACAGGAAAGTCTAACACAAGGTTTGTGACAAAACATACATAATTACATCAATAATTGTGACTATTATTTATTCCATAATATGTAGAATTAGACTTTTAATTAGACTTTTTTTCCAAGTACAAAAAGTCGTTTTCAGAACTTAATATTGTTTGGCGTAATTTGGAAGATACATTACAGAAAAAATTTGAGTACTCTGGGAAATTAAGTGTTCTTTACAATGGTCCATAAACTGAAATGTATCCAATAAGCAACATATTGGAAAATAAATGCACATTTCTACAGTTTGCATTTAAAAAAACTACAGTTAAACGAATATCTTTGAAAATCATTCCATTTTAACTGTACTCCTCAATTTCCAAATCAAATTACAATTTTACTTCATGTTTGCAACCTCAATTAAAATTCCAGGATTTTTCTATTTATATTGACAATGCCTTTTAAATACCATTTTAATGGTGCAAACCCTGATGCATGACCGGTCTATCCAGCAGAAAAGAGAACTGTCAGGTAATGAGCGTTGAGGTGTAGGTGAGGACCATCCTACAGTGGGCACAGGGTTCTTGTGTTTGTTTGTGTGTGTGTGTGTGTGTGTGTATGAGGAGGAGGAGAGTGGCAGTGCTGCCAGCTGTTGTGAGTGGGGAGCTGGAGGAGGGCATTAGTCACAGGAGCACACGGGGTAGAACTGAAGAACGGTGGGTGAAGCAGTTCACACGTTAAGCTCTACAACAGCATGAGATCACAGGCCCTTAAGTGATCTTTACCTCCATCCAGGCTTCTCTACTCACAGAAGGAATCTAAAGTTAATCATATATACTGTAAAAACTGTAATTGTAAATAAGATAAAAAAAAACATTTCATGTTTAATTCAACATCTTATTTGTCATCTCTTTGTGTGAGGAAGCAGTTCACACGTTAAGCTCTACAACAGCATGAGATCACAGGCCCTTAAGTGATCTTTACCTCCATCCAGGCTTCTCTACTCACAGAAGGAATCTAAAGTTAATCATATATACTGTAAAAACTGTAATTGTAAATAAGATTAAAAAAAACATTTCATGTTTAATTCAACATCTTATTTGTCATCTCTTTGTGAGTGCAAATTGTTTCTACGCCCATTTTTTTTAATGTTTATGCTACAGTTAATCTTTAAAAAACACTAATAATGCACTATAGTATTGTGAAATTAATTTGGATCACTTAAAATGACTGAATTTAATTGTTAATGTATTTTATAATAAATATAAACAAAATAGTATAATTTATTGGTTATCTACTATATCATGAAAAATAATTCCCGTCTGATGCATCATCCGCAATTTTAATATTGTGCATCCCTAATTATAAGACCTTAAATTTGTTCATAAATTCATAATTTCACAAGTCAGATTGAGCTCAAGCAGCCACATTGGTTTTGAAGAGAAGTAAAATGAAAAGCAAAGTATTAACATGAATTCTGACATTTCTGTTTGAAACCTATATTGTTGTAAACTAATATCCAATTTCAGAAATACAGTAGTACTGCATTCCAAACACAGTCTAAAATAACCAAAAGCAAAATGAACAATCAATTTAAAAAAAGCAGAAGAGTATGCACATCAAAAAAGTTGAAGAACAGTGTTGTGGATTGAAGGGCTTCTCTTACACAGGTTCTAATCATCTCATGCTACAGTGATTTATTCAGTGCGTTTCGCTCTGTGTGTGAGATCTCTTCAGTTTGGATGTGCTTAGAGCTGTTTGCTGAAACGCCGCTGTGGGTAATGGTCCTCAGGGAACCCAGCCAGGAGGCATCGGCACCTGCGCCCACCTGTAACTAATGAGCTTAATGACTGGATCCTACTGAGGAATAACAGGCCATTTCTGGCACGTCAAAATTTTGGTGCAATCTCGGCTAAATGTGAAGGTTAGACTATTTATTGGAGTAGACGACAGGGTCTCTCAACTCATCTGAGCAATCAATGCACACAAATCAATGTCCATTAAACACATTTTAAAAAAATCTAATTTTAGCTTTAAAGAGCTGCAAGTAAGACAAAGTCATTGTTTATTCTACGAGCAGACATGCCGCGGAAAAGGGAGCCTCTGCAATCAAGGTTATTTGGCTAAAAGCGGACGCAACAGTGTGTCGTGTTGACAGAAGGTATTTATTGTGGTGTCAAGAATGTGCTATAAATTTGGCTAGAAATGACGCTGCAATATCTTACTATGACAGATGATTTTCACTTGGCTAGTACAGGCAGTACCGCTTTGTTCTTTTAATCAAAGAGAGCATACTCTGGCTAAGATGGTTGTTTAATTTCACTGATAAGGAAATTGAAAAAGCTGAAAAAAATTGAAAATGTTCAAAATTTATGGTCACACTTTATTTTAAGGTCTAATTCTTGCTATTAACAAACTATCAACTATGACTTTTGCCTCAATATACTACTAATTTGCTGCTTATATTAATAGTTAATAAGGAAGTTAAGTTTAGTTAAGTTTAGGTATTGGGTATAGGGATGTATAATATGGTCATGCATAATATGCGCTTTATAACTACCAATAAACAACCAATATGTTAATAATAGACATGCTAACAAGCAACTAGTTAATAGTGATAATTAGTCCCTATACAAAAGTGTTACCGGATTTACTTTTTATTTTCGTCATTTAGTCTATAATTGAAGGCATCAAAAACAGCATTATAAAATTGTAATTGTAATAATATTTCACAATATTATTGTTTTATTGCATGAAAAAATAAATGCAACTGTATTCAAAATGAATAAATAAATAGAGATTTGGTGAGCATAAGAGACATCTTTCAAAAACACAAAAATGCACAAAAACTTCTTAGGGCCAGACTTACTAATAGCTTGCGCCAGCGTAAACCCTCTTTTGTCGTTAAAAAATGACTGTCAGGATTTACTAAAGACATACAGTGAGAAATTAGCAATGAAAAGGCACGGACACAGTCATATTTGAGGCTGATCTTATTGCATATGCATTTTCAGGAATGTCCCTTTCAGACACAAAATTTATGGGAGGAAAATATTTAAATGAATCATGCAACATGATTTGCTAAGTTTTGCAGTAGTCAATTTACTGGTATTTGCGCCATTATTTACCGCAGCCCCCCCCCCCCCAAAAACCAG